CCTAAACCCTAAACCCCTACACCTAAACCATAAACCCTAAACCCCTAAACCCTAAACCCCACAAGAGGCAATCCAAGCCGGTCTCAGCCTTGAAGCCTCGAGCGTTCAAACCCGAGCCCATGTGCAAACCTTTGTTTCATCCGACGTGGCCTTAGCCACCCTGCACCGTTAAAAAAAAATGCTGGAAAGGCATAAAGACTTCAGGGGTTGAGGATTTACGATTTGGGTCTTGGGTGCGGCACATGCTGGGGCTAGGCTTCTACTGGAATCTGAGGAAAACGTTAAGTCTTTCATTCTACTGTAAGCCCTAGCTCTGCAATCCCAACACCCACTCATCCCTTCTGCCATGCCTTGAAGCCCAGATGCTGTCATATCTGTTCAAGGTGGTCTGCGTTGGGGTGTGGGCTCGGGAGGCTCAGAAGAAGCAGAAGAAAGAGAAGAAGGAGAAGAAGGCGAAGAAGAAGAAGAGCAGCTTTCGGCCCGCGAAAGACGGGGTTTCGGATTGTTGCGAGTAGGTCTTCAGTCTTTTCTGGCGAATCTTTTTTCTTTTAAACAGGAGTCCCAGGGGTCATCGGTGCTGTAGCATGGTCAGCCCCGCTGAAACTCCCCAAGCCCCAACCCGCTTAGCTGTAGATCCTCAAAGACCTGAGCGCCAGAGCCCCACCAGACCCCCCCTAAACCCTAAACCCCTAAACCCTCGCAACAAAAAACCTCTAAACCCCTGAACCCCAAACCCTCGCAACCAAAAATCTCTAAACCCCTGAACACCAAACCCTCGCATAAAATCTCTAAACCCTAAACCCGAAACCCTCGCAACAAAAAAACCCTAAACCCCAAACCCTAAACTCGAGCTCCGGTGCCCTCCGCTGCCGTCCTAGCATTTCGGAGAACCAGGGCTGGAGCGGGTTGGGGCCCTGGCTTTAGACGGTTTAGGGTTTAGGATTTAGGGTTTTGGGGTCTAGGGTTTAAGGTTTAGGGTTTAAGGTTTAAGGGGTTTAGGGTGTAGGGTTTAGGATTTAGGGTTCGGGGTCTAGGGTTTAAGCCTTAGGGTTTAAGGTTTAGGGGTTTAGGGTGTAGGGTTTAGGATTTAGGGATCTTAAAGACCCGGGACCCGGAATCCCGAAGCAGTGAAACGGATATCCGCAAGCCCTTAAGCTTCAACCCTCGCCGGTTTCAATCGGAGGGTTGAGAGTGGCCCGTAGGTGAGGATGGCCTTAGACCTCAGCTAAACCCTAAACTCTAAACCCTACACCCCTAAACCCTAAACCCTAAAATATAGCCGTAAGAACCTCCAGCGCCGAACCTGAACCGAGAGCCACAACGTCCCAATCTTGCTAAAGATAACCTGGCAAGCCATGCGAAACGGCTGGTTCATGAAGTTTGATAGAAACCCTTCAAAAACAAGTTAAAGCCTTCATAGGGCTCTTATAAAAGGCTCTTCCAACCCCCTCCTTCCCCCATAACAGGGCCTTGCAGCAATTCTGAAAACCTGTATAGAAACAAGCTAGACAGACGCATCTAAGCCCCGAGAACCTTAAACTTACTCTCTAAACCCTCAGCCATGAAGCCTGAGCTTCTCAAATCCCATCACCCTAAGACCCAAGCCGTAAACCCCCAACCTAAACCCCAAACCCCGATCCCTAAACCCCTGCGAAAAAAAGCCCTAAGCCCCAAAGACTAAACCCCAAGCCCTAAACCCCTCAAAAACCCCAATCCCTAAACCACCGAAAAGAATCCCTAAACCCCAAATCCCAATCCCTATAAATCCGCTAGGAAAAATCCCTAAACCCCAAAGACGAGACCCTACACCCTAAGCCCTAAACCCTCTCTATCTGATGTATATTTAAATGTTGTTTCGCAAATCCGCTAATCGACCCCCCAATGTTGTTTCACGAAGCCGTCAACCGACCCCCAATGTTGCTTCACGAAACCGTCAAGCGACCCCCAGTGGGCAGGCTTTAGGGTTTAGGATGTAGGGCTCAAGGCTCAAGGCTGGCTTTGGGGTTTAAGATTTTGGGCTCAGGGCTCCAACTGGACAAGTTGAGAGATTTTCTTCTTTGAGTCCACCAAGTAGCTTGCAGCAACACCTAAACACTAAAGGGTCTAACCACAAAAGTTGAGAGAAGTTGAAAGATTTTCTTCGTAGCGACGAGTTGTGAAGACACGATGGCGTTACCAGAGCGAGCATGTCGCTGGGAGCAGTTGCAAGCGAAGCGTTGTGAAGACACGATTTCGTTACCAGAGCGAGCGTGTCGCCGGGAGCAGTTACAAGCGAAGAGTTTGGAAGACACGACTACGTTACCAGAGCGAGCGTGTCGTTGGAAGCAGTGATTTATGACACTTACAACGCCACTTAGGAATGGTTTTGTACGATATAAGACAACAACCCAGACGACAAAATGAGGTCATGTAAGAGTGAAAGAATTCCAATTGTGAATGAGGAAAGCCTTAAAATTTTGAAGAGGAAGAAGAAGACCTTGTATTTTCTTAATTTTGTGGGCTTCTCTGGGCGGGTGGGTTTTGTTCAACGTCCTAACAACGAGCTTGACTAGATACTGCTCGACCCGGAGCTGCTGAACCCTAAACCTCTAAACCCTAAACCCTAAACCCTAAACCTAAACCCTAAACCCTAAGTCCTAAACCCTAAAACCGAA